GCGACCTGGGCGGCCGAAGATCCGGCCGCCGCGGTCGCTGCCGAAGAAAATGGCGCCCCCCAAATCCTAGCGCCCTAGGCGACCACCGAAGTCGCCTAAATGGTTGCACCGGCCCTGCCTAAGTGTACCTACATCTGAATTACTTTTAAGAGGGCTCTTTATGAACTGACATGGGGGTGTAATAAGTTAAGCTGCTGTTATTCACTATCTTCAACTTCTGTTCTCAGGGCCACCAGGATGAATCCCTATTAGTGATTTAAACTGGCACTCTGATTGGTGCGTGTGTCTGCATCTGACTTAGGCTAGCTCTAGTAACTCTTAGTAATGACAGAAGTTGCCCTGCTAGGGTATCACTAACCCCTTGAACCCTTTTTTAAAAAGAGAAATGGGAATCAACGAGGCAGCAAGCGTGGGGGGGAGGAATCCTCGTTGTTCCTCCATTTCCCCATATGTAAAATGAGGAAAACGATACTGAATGAAACAATGAATTCACACTACCGTGGCTTTTTTGGGTAATGTTGATCGCTAATTTGGCTCCTGAACCACTGAGGTCTGAGTATCACTGGTCTTCATTATACAATACTGATCTGGACTCTCAGAGCTGAATACTGATTACTCGTTTTTTGCAAGTAATATAAGTATGCCTTTATCTTTCATGAGGAGTGTATCCCTGTGCTTTATTTTGCAGGTAGGATTTTTCTGATTATGCAGAAAAAAAGAAAAAATGTAAATATTACTCCCTCTGGATAAAGTCCATTTTCTCGTGATTAATCTTGCAGGGAGAAACAACCTTATATATGGTTTGGTGTATGATAAGTCAAAGAGACATTTCTATAGCCTGTCTAGACTCTAGACAATAGACAAGACCAGACTATATTGTCATTGCTAATATGGCAATAGTCTGTCATATCACTTAGAAAGGAAAAAAACCCATCACTTCAGAGAAATAATACAAAAATAATAAATAAATAAAACAGCCTGCCCTGCCAGCACTGCAGTGGAAATTTAAGTGTAATAACTTTAGACAATTTAGAAATTATATAGCAAGAAGTTTCAGCAGCCATTTGTAAGGAAAGGCACCTCCTGCAAAAGCATATGCAATCCAAAAATGTGAGTCATGCTCAAGCAATTTTGCTCTGGGCCATAAAATCACTTTATGTGAGTTACAGATAATACTCAATGTATTCTGTAATGTTTCCCTACTGTGTAGAGATGGATACCCCAGTATCCTATCACAGATAATGATGAAAAACAAATTCTCTACATAAAGGCTGATTGCTCAGAGATTCACCCTTGACTATTCCAAAGAATTGTAATGCAGGCTGAACATTTCATGCTGCATTCATCAACAAAGAGACAGGCTCCATCCATGCACAACATACTTCAGCTTAGTTTTTGTAGTATGTAGTAGGGGAAATTGAAAACAGCCTTAAAACATGGAATATTTATCCTGCTATTTCACACCACATATGCATCTGCTAACCCCCAAACCACCACCTCTCCGTTTTCTGTTGTTGGAGCCACTGTAAATATTCAGGCAATGGTGTCAGGGATACTGACTGGTGCTTTGCATGTCATGATGAGAAAAATCTGTATCAGTAGATAAAGTGGAGCGGGTCACAAAATATGAGTTACTGCAATGCAAAGGCGAATCCTAGAGGTGAGTGTTTGGAATATTATTATATTATATATCTTTTGTAACCTTTTCTATTGTCATGTTTTATATTCTTTTATCCCTAGTAAACGTAGCCAAAAACCAAACACTTGTTGACATTAAAACATAAATAGTGAGAATAAATCACAAGATATTTGAACAAGATTTCTTCTTCAGATCTGGGATTAAACAGCTACACTTAGCTGTATTTAAAGGTACATTTCAAAGTTGTGTAGCACTCCAAATCAATGACACCATTAAAAACCACCTGGATCGCCAAAGGGACGTGTCCTTTTCATGCACATAAATGTATGATGTTTTCTAACATTCAGTGGTATGACGAATATTGGACAAATATGACAAACAAACAAACAAAATAAATAAATAAAAAAGAACAAGTACCTCTCCAACATCATAGATCCAGATGCGGCCTTCTGAATCTCCAACTGCTACCTCTTTCCCAGCCTGGGCCCAACGGACACGATTGAGGGCAGAAGCTCCTTCAATTGTCACACTGGCTGTTGGAACCTGTTGCATCAATAATAATGATGTTAATGAAATCATGCTGTGAGTGAATCAAATATGCTAGTTTAGAATGTTATTGTTTCAGTGGATGAATCACAAGTCCCTAAGAATTACACGAGGTAACATATATCCCTTGTGTAGGGGGAGAAAAAAAAAAGATTAATTGTTTCTTCAGTCACATGCTCTACTGAGTTATGGGAGGTGGGAAGATTCAGACAGACTGTTTGGGAGGCGTAAGGGAGACTTTTTCACAGTAAATGGGCAGTGAGTGACACAAATATTTTTTTCCTGGCTGGAGACATGCAAAACCACAGCAGCTTGTTTCTCAATATGCACTGACTTCTGATCAAGAAGTGAGTTAAGAATCAACTGAGTGTCAGAAATTCATAAGCTTAAAGATAATACTAGAATGGGGCTTGAAAATTCACAGAACGGTAGCAGCGTTTATGAAAACCATATTTTACTGACCTACGTCAATGTTTTGGTTGTAGTTTTGTATTTCAGTGGCAAGGTAGGACAGAAACAGAAGAAAATCAGTTCAAAACAAGACGTTTGTAGTTTCGATACTATTCTTTCCCTTTTTTTCATTCTTCCTCAATGGTAGGCCTTTGTGCTTCATGCATAAGGCTCTCCATTTTCAGTTTTTACCGATTTTTACCCAATTTTTAGACTACTGATTATGTTACAAAAATCCAATACATTTCATTAGGTAGCTGCATTTATGTTAATAAGTCTAAGTGTAAATGCAAGGCTGTCTGTTAAAGTAAGGCAATGTAGTGGAAGATACACACATGTGCATATGTGTACGTACTGTTAATGTACAGTTCATGAAATAAACCACAGCGTTAAATGGCATGAGGTATCAGTGAGAGTAGGAAGCTGAGCCTTTGCAGACTGCCTGGGAGACTCCAGCTACAGTCAATAACCATGCACAGTCACTCGTGCAGCAGAACAATTACTCTAAAGCTGGGCTATTTACCTAGCACCTCAAGATCTGGAAACTCACTCAGTCCCCTTTGTTACAGACTCTGACTAAAGGCTGCAAAACCAAACTAGTACCTCAGAACAACAGGGTTGGCGTGCTAAACCCTCATCCCTGTAAACTACTGCACTACAGTGCCCTTGAGCCTCCCAAGAGAAGTTAGAATAGATCTGCTTACACAGTAATTCAGAAATAATGTTGGACAGCAATCAGAAAGCAGGAGATTACCACATCTTCTTCCCTGCCCGCCCCCCATAAAGAAGTATTCAAATGCAAATAAGCCACTGAGCTTCTCTCTTCATTGGTTCAGGCCTTGGTCCCATCAATGCTATATGACCAATGAAAGATGGCATTTCCTGTAACTCCTCATCTCACGTATGAGTTATTAGGCCAATTACCTGGCATAAAGTAGCAATAAAAACTATCATGTGATAATACTGTATGCTTCACCCTCCTCATCATTGAAGTCTCTGCAATTCTTTTCACTCTTAAGGCTATATTAATTTTATATAATTTATAGAAAAAATCCTCAAACAGACAAAACTGAACACTAGCGCAGTTACTTAATCCATTTCACCAGTTAGTTTTGTTTCTCAGAAAATTAGTAGATCAAAGATATACAAGTTCTTTCAAAGGAGTATGTTTCAGACACGGAATTTTAGCTATACCTTTCAAAATGCTGAAATATATACAGGTACTCTACCTCTGCTTTGGGTTAATATAGCATTATTCCTGTGTTGCACAGACAAATAAACAATGGGAATGCTGACCAATTCAGGGTCCTATAAATTAAAATCTTCTAATGGTTTAGTAAAAATCATTCCCACTCAACAAATTTATCTAACAGCATCAAAGCAATCATGAAATTGTTCGAAAACATTTGAATACCCCTCCTTTTTCCTTTTGTACAAAGAGATATATAGTCATTCTACATTATCTTAAAATAGATTTGACTGCTTTGAATAATGATAGTTTAAATTACACACACCTATTTAACATTTCAAAGATCTGAATTTACCTTATAATGGTTATATGACACCATTAGTTATGTTTTTAAAGTTATATTTTAAAATACTTTATAAATTATCTAAAGTTATAAACTGACGCTTGTCAGATTATAACCATTTTGGCATATGAATTTAGCAGATAATAGACTGAGAGATCACTCACCAAAAAATACAACTAATAATTCAGCTTTTAATTTTTGTTGCTTATATGGTGTTAAAAATAACTGTTTAGAGATATCTTTCATATCTACTTCACAAAATAAATGCCATCTACATAGTTTCAGAGCCAAAATACACAAGCCATGCAAAAGAAAATACTGTTGAAAGCAACATAACAGAGCAGCAAAGTGGAAAAATATCAATAATTCTTGAACAGTAATCAATAGAGATGACTGAGCAATAACCTAGATGCTGATTCTACCTTTAAGCCAAGCAAGAAAAAATGTTGTGGACACACTACTGGGAAATCAGGATCTTCCATCCTAAATTTAACTGAAAATCTGACTTACTGATACCTCTAAAACTATTATACAACTTGCAGGAGAGTAAAGAAGTGTTGGGGAGGGGGAGTTAATGTTAAATAAATTAAAAATGATAACTTTCATTGTTGTTATAAAAACCAAACATGTTATCCACAAACCAGAATGCTACATGTGATTAGTTCAGCCCTTTTTAAAGTTTGATTGTGAGAATAGTCAAAAGATTATGGTCATTTGGATCAAAAAGCATCTAGAGTCTGGGTTAGGCACTTTTAATAAATCAAAATAAAATAAATTAATACAGAGAAGAGGACTAGTAGAAATTGTATTATATTTCAAGAAATTGGAAGGTTTTTTGTAAGTTATTTAAAAACCGGTATTTTCTCCATCATTTTTCAAAATAATAACTAAACATTAATGCAGCTGATTTCCTAAAATCAAATAAAGAAAAAACTTAATTATTAATAATAATTACCAATCTTTTATATAGCACTTTTCATCAGTAGATCTCATTAAAATCCATTAATATATTTGTTATTTTCCTCCATCTGTATTTGACATCTATTACTAGAAAGTTTTGTATGTTTAAACACAGCTAAGGAGTCCCAATAATTTCCCAGGTTAGTCATCTCATTTTTATTACAATGACTAATGAGTAAAACTCTGAAAAGATTTTTCATTAGTAAACAGAATAATTCGTTCAGATCCTTTAATAATCAACTATAGATCATCATTATAACCTAATTTTAAGCTACCAGGCAAAGGGTCAAAGAAAACATTGATCACTTTCAGTTGTAATTTTTAAAAGAATTGTGTATGGTTTTCTTTCACTGACTATCTATCTGATCTGCTTTCCTTGCGAATCCAAAACTCCCACTGATTTAGTTTCTGCTAGTTTATGATTTCTAGACATTTTCAAGTTATTCCATCACTGCTTACTAAAGAACTGGAATAGTAATTTTTTCTTCATAGATCCAAATTCAACTCTCATGCTGATGTAAATCTGTAATAATACCATTGACTTCAATAGAGATTTACACTTATGTGAGAGCTGATTTTGACCCTTACGAATGAATATTCTTTGTGAAATTGCTGGCGGCTGAGAGGGTGTACAGAATGCAGGAACAAACTCTGAATTCATTTTTGTGGACGCTCATTCGCCTTTTCTTACTCAAAATTTATCTGTAAGCCTGGTAATATAGGGCATGATCCAGCTCACTGACTTCAATGGGAGCAGAACCAGGCGGCTCATGGTAATTACTTGCGGTGAAATCTTGGTGCCACTGAAGGCAACAGCAAAGTCCCCATTGATTTCAGAGGGGTCAGGATTTTACCAGAAAGGGTTATTTTTTTCTTTTTGAAATGTTAACAGGTTTTTATGTTGTTAAAGTGGCATTAATGAGAACACCTGAAGGATATGTTCCTCCCCCTCCCCAAAAGAAATTCTGAGGAGAGTCCTCCTGGATATCCTCCAGCTGTATGCTTTCTAATTAAAAAGGCTGCAGTACTTCCTGCTCAGAACACTTCAAAAGGCATGGCTGCTCCACGTGACAATACAGTTTTCAGCATTTGTTCCTCTTACCTGTCCACACTTATTTATGGCAAGCAGCACTGATTTGGAGACCATAAACTGCACTTGTATTTTACTTTGGCTGAAATGTATATCTATCATGGTTACATGAAAGACATAGTAATAAATGAGCTAACTTTAAAGAAATAATGTAGGAAATGGGGAAAATATTGGCATTTGTTCTCGTTTGTTTTAGAAAATGAAAATAACTTGTTCATTAAAATGTGACCTTATTTTTAGGCTGATTTTTTTGTTTTGTTTTCTACTTTTGTACTATGCCATTGAAAATAAAGTTAGTGCTTGGGTGATGGAAAAATATGCATCTTGCTGGTATAATCAAAACATACTGGTCATTTAGAACAGGGATGGTTCTTATAGCAAAGATTCATCAAAGGAAAATTCAAATCAAGATTATACTCATTCATTCAATACCTAGACATATTTTTAAACATCTGGAGTCATAGTTTCAGATTGAAATTATACCAAACACAAAAATAAAGAGGAACATAAAATCCATACTATCTATATTTACGAAGGAGGCTGCTTGATTTTTAAGTACAGTATTTGCTACTTCATCTTTGCAAAGAGTTCTCTTATTAGCCCTTTCTGTTTCAATGGGGTTGAAAGAAATGTAAGAGGTGGTGGGAAACACATGGGCATCATTAAGTTCCTAGCAGGTTGGAGGTACTGTTGCAGGGCTGTCAAGCTGTGACAATTTGCAGGAGATGGGGGGAAAACAATTATGAAGGAGAGTTAACGTTCCATTGAAATAGACTGAAGACATAACAGAAACCAAATATAATAATCATTAATAATAAATAAATAATAATAATGAAATAAAAACAATCCTTCATCGTAAGAGCGAGCGACTTATAAAGCTTCCTCAAAATCGATCCCAAACCAGGAAGTCTCACACTCCACCTGAGTGAGACTTGGCAGATCTATGGTGTTGGTACAGGGCTGTCAAGCTGTGACAATCTGAACGAGGGGAGACAGTGGGATTTTAAATGTCTCACTGAAACCGTGCACCAAAAGAAAAAAAAATCACAAAATGGGAGAGATTTTTAAAATCTGCCTTGAAATAAATCCAAAGACAGGGAGTATCCTTCCCAAATTGGCGAAACATTATCTATTTGCTGCTCTGTGCTTGATTTTTGGAATGGGGATTGCATTATTTCCCTTCCCTCCCTTCCCCCGTAAATTTAACTTGTATGAAACATACAAGGAGCCTTGAACCATACCGGGGGCGGAGGGAGATTCAATGTTTCTTAAACGTACAGGAAGGGGGAGATCAGTGTCCCCTGAAACGTACACAAGGCGGCTGGAGCCACGTCTCCTGAAACATACAAGGCGGGCAGGCCAATGATCGTCGAAACATACAGGGAATGAGGGAGTTCAGTGTCCCTTGGCGGGCACAAGGAGGAGAGTGGTTGGTAGCAGCAGGCAGAGAGGCAGGGATCTCTCCTCCTCTCCCCCGCCCCGGCCCGCGCAGGGTTAAGGGCTCCCCCCGCCACCCCGCCTCACCTCGGTGTCATTATTCAGGTTCCACAGATCCAAGCGCCCCATCCCGTCCACACAGGCAAAGAGCGCGGGATGCACTGGTGACCACATGACATCGTAGACATAGTCTGCATTGTCTTCAAAGGAGTAGAGCGGCTTGTTGTGCTGTAAAGCAGAGAGAAGCATGAAGACTTCGTGGCGCTAGTGCTGCCTCGGGCTGTCTGGCGAGTCTAATTAAAAACTTTGCACATTTACCAAGTGTCATAAAACTTCCCCAGATGAAAGGTCCTTGCAGAAGGTGGGACTGGAGCTTTAATGGGGCAACAACTATCCAGTGGCATAAATAAAATACAGTGGGGCGGGGGGGGGCAAAGGGTGATTGGGTGGGGAGCTGCTGAGCAGCCTCAAATATAGCTCGAGACATTCCACACAGGTACACAGCGCTGCTGCCCCTTAGCTCCCGGGCCTATTTTGGGAAGGGGGGGGGTGTTTCTGGGCGAGGGAGCGCTCTGCATGTTGCTCACACAAATAAATCAGCTTTGTGGGCTGACCTGATAAGGATCACGAGATTCCCAGGGAGCAGCCGCCCATGGGGGCTCCTTGCATGGAAGGCAGCGACTGCCACCTAGCGGCGCTTGCACTGTTGCAGCGGCCAATTAGCAGCCTTTGCTATTTCCCAGTTGCGGAAGCCAGACAAGGGGTATTGCTAAGGGGAGAGACCGACTGCCGAATGACGCGATATCAAAGGGTTGCCTCGCTGAATTCTTTGTCTGCTGCTTCATGGGGTCATTTCAACTGCTTATATTGCTCTCACTCTGACAGTGCCTCCTCTTCTTTCCCAGGTGATTCAGATTATTCCAGCGATGGTAGCTGGATATTCCAAAACTGGTTAGAATTCAATTTTAAAATGGGGGGGAGGGGGAAGCAGGGAGACTATAGTTGCTACATAAATCAAGTGGTGCAGATCTTATTTTAAGCGAACATTGTCATTTCAAAACACCTTAGAAGTCAGAGGCAAGTTTGCAAGTACACCAGAAATAAAATGTAATTGGACATAATGAATTATTCATCACATCTGGCTTCTCTTATTCTAATTTTTGCATAATGCCTTCACTAATCCCTGATCAATTAATGTAAAATGAAATTTAAATGATAATGAAAACTCCAGAGATAAGAGAAATTAAGTATTCTCATAGCCTGTGACAGAAATCTAAACAATGGGATTTTTTAAAAAATGTCTTCCTCATCCACTCAGCTGTCTGTAACAGCTCTTTGGGTTTCTTTAATGCCTTTATAAGCAGGGTATGATAGAGATCTGAAGAAAGAGAATATAAGAATTCGAAGTTATGATTCTACCCTACACTTGTAAAGGGACTTTAGTAAGAGGTAAAGTATTACACAGAAGACCCTCAGAGAGACAGGGTGGGTGAGGTAGTATCTTTTATTTCACCAACTTCTCTGTTGGTGAGAAAGACAAGCGTTGAACCTTACACAGAGCTCTTCTTCAGGCTTGAAAGCTTGTCTCTCTCACCAACAGAAGTTGGTCTAATAAAATATATTACCTCACCAGCCTTGTCTCTCTGATATCCTGGGACCCATTGGTCTACAACAACACTACATACAGAAGACCTTTGTTAGCCTATTTTTATACTGGTTTTAAATATTTGGGGTTTCTGAAGAAGGTCATTGCAGAATACACCCTGTCCTGATAATAAAACAAGGGAAAGAAAACATAGATTAATGCTGGGAACACATGAAATAGCTCAGGCGGTTGTAATTATTTGCTAATAAGCTACTGATAACACTAACCGATTTGCATATAAAAATTGTGCAATTTAAGGGCCTGATCCAAAGCCCATAGAAGGACTCCCATTGACTGCAGTAGGCTTTGGATCAGGTTCTAGAAGAATACTTTAAAATTAAAAATAATATTTTTAATGAACAGTTTCTTACCTGCATTATTGAGATCACCATTATTTCTAAAAGTGAAGGAACTGAATTTTTACTTATGCTGTTTCTTTTTGCATTTTATTAATTTTTGTCAATAAAAATAGAGTGCTCAGCTTCAACTCTACTTAGAGTTTACTTCGTTTGTTTCATTTTCCATCATCCTGCATTACACATTGCTGCCGTGTTTAGGTTTTATATATTATATATGTATGTGTGTATGTATATATTCCTCCACAGTGTCTGTGAGTGTACACACAAAACATGCACACATGCTGCCAAGGAATGTATGTGTTTTCATTGCAATATAAAAAGAATGAATGAAAACATTTCTATCCACCATAGGTTTTATAACAGTATATTTGCAGATTTAATTACATGACAGTGTCTTTTTAAAACACAAAGGCATTGGACAGTACTTATAGGCCTCCTTTAATTCTGTTTGAGTCAATGGAAGTTTAGCCACTGACTTCCAGTGGAAGCAGGATCAAATGTTCATATTTGGCCTTATACTTTTGTTATTTCATAAATGTAACAAATATTTTGTTTTATTTTTAAGTTGGAGCTCAAGATGAGGAATTACCTCAGTTTGATGTGCACTCTTTCTAAAAAGGTTAAATATTGTCCTCTGGAGTCTTAGTGTTGCAAAAACAAACAAAACAAACATACAAAAATAGGTTTCAGAGTAGCAGCCGTGTTAGTCTGTATCCGCAAAAAGAACAGGAGTACTTGTGGCACCTTAGAGACTAACAAATTTATTAGAGCATAAGCTTTCGTGGG